TTCAATTAAATTATTTCAAATTTTAGAATTAAAGTTTCAGAACGTTTTTTTTTTTTTTAACTGAGATTACATTTTTGTAAACTCGAGACTGGCAATCGGGGAATTGTTTAATCATTTTTACCTCATATTGGACATCTAATATCTTCCTTTGCATTTCTCCTTTCTGTTAAGGCCGATTTGATTGCAAATATGCAACACACACGATGCGAGCGTGCATTCCTCTGGGGGAATTATGCGAAAAACTTCTTGATATTCGCACGCTTCAGCGCCGATAAGAACGCGAGTCGAAATAAGGAACGAAAGTAACTTGGAACACTTTAAACCATATTTTCTCACTTTTATTAACATTTCGAGCAAGATTAACGTCGAACAATCGATCTCTCAGTGTAACGAACTTCATGATAAATTAAACAAAAGAATGAAACTGAAACATTTTACGATGAAAATATCACAGAAAATACTTTGTGCTTTCATTTACCTACAATGCGTTTCATTAACATTTTACTCATAGAGAATTTGATTAATTTAACGTTATTTATGCACTTCTCGCGACACAACAAATAAACTTCGACATTTCTCTAATATTATTAATCATTATTGTAATATTAGAAAATTTTAAATATATATTATTGAAAAATACAGGTACGATAAGAAAAAATAGACCAATATCATTGACATATTTAAAATTACACGACCAATACTTGATCAAATTTCTTTTAACCCTTTAATGCTCAGACACGTGTCTCACACGTGCACAACTAATTTTTAAAATCATTTTCTTTCACTTTCCGTACTGCGTTATCATTTCGATTATCGCAAGAACGTAGATTTCAGCAGTATAAATAACAGAAAACCTATTTCTGTACGCCTAGGAAATAATTCAAAAGTAAAACAAATTGATTATATTTGACACGTCGAATTAAGAAAAATGTGAGAGTTCAGGGGTTAAAGAACTCCTCCTTCGTGATATTAAAATCTTTAACGCAACTTCAACTTTTCGGCACATCAAACTGAGAAAAATTTGAGCGTTCAGGGGTTAAAACACTCCTCCAAAATATAAAAAATTTAACTTTAAGTTAGGGCTCTTACTATTGCCCGAATTCACGGATATCCGAATCTTGACTCGCCTAATTTCAATTCGAATATCCGGATGCATCTGTATTAACCTCGGATACCTAACACCAGTATCGAATTTTCTACCTAAACTAGCATCCTTCAATCGAAATCCAGATAAGAGAAGCTTCACATTTGAGTAATTAGCAAAGAAAATTCGAATCCGGATACTCGGATGCAAGTCCGGATACTCAAGTACTCAGACTCGAATTTCGACACCAAGTTCGGACTATAACGAGCAGGGTCGGTTCTAGGCTGTTAGCCACCTGCGTGCTAGAAATATTTGGCCGACCCTCTCATCGACACGAATCGCGAGCAGATTCATAAACTAAACCAACCCATGGGAGCATTATCTCACTACGACAGTTCTATATAGTTGACAAGGATAAAAATGAGAATTTTAAGATTTTCACAGCCCGGTATGTTGCAGTTTATACTGTTTCAGGCTTTCTCCAGCATTGCAGCTAGCTTCATCAGGGGTCTAAGGATGCACTGATAATAGTGCGCGTCGAGATGTCCACTCTTTTTAAATTATCCGTGGTCACGTTCCGGAACACCGATCAGGCAATCAGGTTTTAATTTGTCAGCTGATCAATTAAAAAATGGGAGGAGAGTGCTCTAGATAGGATTGAGGTGGGTGAGAAACGCCGTTGCACTGTTTTCACCTCAATTTATTAAGATCTAAGAGCGATGGTCGGCGTACAATTCGCCCGGAAAATACAATCGCTTTATTCGTTAATTGTCCCTGCAGCAGTGGTTCGGCGGACACGTCTCGATGGTTGGTAAAGGAAAAACTGACTTGAGGTGTAGGTGTACAGTAAATTCTCTACAAGTGTCAGTCAGTTTGGATTCTACAAGTGTCAGTATAGATGGTCCTACGCCTATGTTATCTCGCTCGCAGTCAGTCAAGCGTGTAACGCTACACCAGTCGGTTTCCTTTACGAGATTACACGGCACGACTAATCATAATAGAAAAATATAATTTCTTTAATTTTACTTTTTTTCATCTAACGCTACACCACTCGGTTTCCTTTACGAGATTTCACGGCTCGACAAATCATAATAGAAGAATATAATTTCTTTAATTTTACTTTTTTTCATCTGGTGAGATTTTTCTGATGAAAATGATATCAAACAGGATATAATTTGAACATTTACTTATTAACACGTTCACTGTCTGGCGTGACATGTTGTTCAAATTATGTCGTGTTTTATGTCATTTTCATCATAAAAATCTCATCAATATGTTAAGAAAAATTTCGGGATAAAAAAACGTAAAATTAAAAAAGTTGGTATTTAAATCGCTTGGTTGCCTCGACTCACGTTTCATCCTTATCTTTTATTCGCTGTCCTTGTCTACGTTCGGCAAACTACAAAGGCGGGCGCGAGGCTCGAAAACGTAGCCCTGACTCTACAAGTGTCAGGTTTAGGTTCCTTGCGGACTGACACTTGTGGAGAATTTACTGTACTGGGTTTTTATATGTTAGGAGAGGGAGACAGTAGTAGAGTGGTGGAAATGGAAAATTTGTAGAAAGCGGGGCCGTTCGTCCTCGTGCAAACCTGGATGCCTCGTGTGCGCTTCTTAGGCTACTCGAGGACGAAGGCAAGTCTTGACCCGGGGAGGGACAAAAGAGCGGAAGCTAAAATCTGAAGGAGTTGAAAGAGAGAAAGTTCGCGTGGAAGAATAGAACAAGGTTCGGTAAGGGCTTGTTGACAGTGACGTACCCGCCACAGGGTTGAAGTGGTACCTTGTGTCTCCATTGATGTTACTAGGGTTTTTCGTTATTTCTATCGTTTCCCTGATCGGTGATCCGGAACATGAACACGGGGTACCTTGAAAAGAGTGGACATCTCGACGCAGACTATTATCAGTGCGTCCTGAGACCCGTGATGAAGTAGCTGCGATGCTTTTTGACACGGTTTACACCTGAAAGTCTCAAACGGTATAAACTGTAAGGGGTCAAAATGTCCATAAAAATATTTCATATATATTTATTTTAATTTTATTCTTTAAAGTGCACTATCAGCCGCCTGTGTGCATGCACGCACTGCACGCCTACTAGAACTGTTTCAGGATAACGAGTACTCGAATATCCGGATAGTAAGAGCTCTAATTTCAATATAAAGTGACACTAAACAAAAGTGTGTGCGCTAATATTCGTGTAACATTGCTTCAGCGATGTTACCGGTGAAAACAGACGTGCCGCAGGGTGTATCGAGACTGTGTCCAGGAGCGCGGAGGTCTTTTTTCTGTAGAATGAAGCGGAAAGTTGAAGGGGTTCGTTGCGGTGAATTGCAAGTGAAGGAGGAGGCCGACACTACCAGTGGCTGTCATCGACGGAAAAAACAACAAAACGTGGGTAAGTATGTTTTGGAAGAATGATTTGTTTCATTACTGACCATCTTAATCGTCATTTTTAAGCGTATTGAGGCTTGATAGTAAATGAGCGTTGATTCGCGTAATTCGTTGTTAATCATTCTATAGTGCAATCCTGTTCTATTACAAAAGCGAACTTTAATCAGTGTTACCAAATTTTATAGTTTTCCACATCGCAAAACTTCGAAAACAAATGAAAATTTGGATACTTAAACTTGGAATGCACACCACTTTGTTGAATAATAAGAAGAATAGTGAAATTACAATTGTTTCCAACACGCAATATTAAAATAGAACATTAGAACCGTATCTGTGAGGAATTTACAGCATGACTGGCCCCTTTTCTTCATTCCTAAGATTTCGCGATTCGGATATTTGCCGCGTGACTCGTCAAAGCTGAAAAGTGGACACTATTTTGAAGAGATCTGAAAGGATCGCTTTGCAAACCTTCTCTTATACTCCCCTCTCAGTTTCCAGGCTTTAATCGTGCATGCCTTCTTTCATGCAAAGGTACAGAATTGTTATAATAATAAAATAGAAACGTAGAAAAATAATTATGTATAAATGCAAAATTTGTATATAAATTATAGGTATACAAAATAATTATAATAATATA